AGAGGCTTGTTTCATTATTGTTGCTAGTAGTCTTTGGTGTACGAACTTGTAAAATGTCAGTATAATTCGAACATCGAGTGTATCTGGTGATCTAATGAGTGAATAGAGAGTTGAAGCCTAAGGTATTGAGCAATCGAATATTTATTTCGAATGATTAGTTAGTTTTTCGGAAGATAAAGAAGATAAAAGGAAATGGCAATATACGTATCTTTCAAGTATGCAAGTGAAATATAATATATTTTTAGTATTTCGGTAATGATGAGGTCGAGATGCATTCGTTTCAGTCTTCTTGAGGATGATTTGAAGAAGTGGAAATCAAATTGAAACGTAGCTTCTTTGTTAAATTGTTATTATACTGAGTTTTATGTAACTGTCCGTTGCATAACGATTACTGATAAGTAATCTAGCAATTTTTAATGAATTCACGTTTACTTCTGTTCATGTTCGAAGCAACGCCATTAATCATCGTTCAGTACGTTGACCGACTGGTTTGCTTTCTTTTTCTTACTCTTTTTCTCCTTCCCTTTTCGCTTCCTCGTGTTCAAGCTTATACATTGTAGTGTACGATTAAATTATGACATCAGACCACCTCTATAGTAACGCGATATGCGTGTGGTCCGCGATAGTCGTTAACCGTGATATCAGTACCTCGAAGGAAGTGCGATTAATCGCTGTAAACAAGACGTAACAAAATAGTTCGGAGGGAGATTCAATCAACTTTGTGGCACATACTTTGTAAGTTTATTATCGAACTACTCGAATTCCCGAACTAACTGTGATAAACGTTTCTTGCGACTGTATTGTCAACAAAGAAACACAAACAAAATTATACAGTCTCATTAAAAAAAAATATACTTCATAACTCCCTATATTTACTGTATTACAAATTAATCTCCTCCAGCACAGAATACGTCAAACAGCTTCAAAAATTCCTCCATTCAGACCCAAAAGAAAAAGCAAAAAATCAAAAGAAACACGTAAAACCAGTGGAACTTCATATATGAAAAATTAAAAATTTCCAACAAACAATTTAATTATTCAACCATCACAGATCAATATTTAGCTTTTCTCTACTATTCAACTACAGAATTCAGTTTCAATCTCTCGTAGAGCCTGTAACAAATCCAATCAACAACGTCTATACACATCGAACAAATTCATAGTTCAACAATATTTACTATTTCGACGCGTAATTCAGTTTCCCATGGAAAGACTTTTCGAAGCCGAACAAATTTTCATCCGCGAGGTTTCCAGATCACAAGTGTACTCTTGAACGCACAGTTAACCGATTAAGAGGTCCACGTACAATTTAGCTACCGCCAATCGCTTTACGTTTCGAATACTTTAAAAAAATCCCCGACTGGTTAATGAAGGGGCGTGTAACCGAGGGTTGCCCGTGGAGTAGCACGGACGCAACGCTCACGCCGGGATACTTGCCACTGTTTATCTGCGATTTAGTGACATACTGGATAACAAAAGGTAGGTGAACGAGATGGTGCACGTACACAGGATGCTGCCGCGCGCGAAGAACATAGATCGAAGAGGCGGGGTGCGCGTCCTACGTCACGAAGCGGGCAAAGGGGTGTCACAGAGGAAAGCCGCACAAGGGGTGATGCCGGCAGATAGAGATAGGCCACGATGCCGGCGTGACTTGACAATAAAGCTCGTCTCACCTCTGCCTCGTTCCGCAGCCTCCTTTCTCGCCCACCCCCTCTCGTCCTTCGAGCGACGGTCGCAACCCTCCGCCCTCTTCCCTTCGCAGCTCCCCTGTTTCCGAGCCAGGTCCACGATACCCTTAGCACCTACACGAGGCTCGTTCGCCATTGACTACCTTGGCTATCGCTTGCCAACTGGCTGGGCGCTCGAGGGCTCATAACGCTACCGGTAAGAGTTAGAAAACCGTGAAACTCGAGCTGTGAAACGAGCCCGCGCATCCCGGGCTCCTTATCTCTCGTCAGACCGATGCCAGATGCATGCGCAGCCCTGGGGACACTCGACACGTCCGAACGGGGAACTCTGGCAACGCGTAAAGGGAAATTGCGTCCTACGTAACGTGTTCCGGAGCGGAATTGTCCTAAATTCGATGGCGGTCCGGGGAACTTCCTGGTTCAGGCAAGTTCGTTGAACTCTGGTTTTATCGGGGGTGGTATCAGTCGACAATATCAGGAGACTTTAACTTTGTTGAAAGGTGTCTTTGGTTTTATAACTGTTTTATTTTATGGAATTGGTATTCGGTGATTGATCAATGATTAGTAATAGTTACTGTTATTGTATATATGGGAGATTGAAGAAATGGAACGCTTAAATGTCACGTTTCAATCGTGTTAGAGTTTTGAGTTTTTATTGATGTATAAATTAGAGTCGTAATGATATCGATGTTTCTGGACGACGATGATTCTATGAACGATCTAGTAATACGTACATAATGTAGTTTGACAGTTAATATGCTCGATTCACTGCGAGGACATTGAATGAAAACGGAACCGTCAATTCCGATGGGCGGCCACCAGCACCCTTGAATGCCCGCGGAACGTATCATAGGGTTATTACGAGTGTTTCGATGCTAACGACGAGGACAAACTGCTTAGCACGAGGCCAGACTGAAAGTAGCGATCAGTCAATCTGTCAGTGTGACGAGCGACGTCTGTTCAGAGGGTCGCCGAGGGTCGAAGACAAGCCCATTGTCAAGCGACCCCTGCGGACAAGTTAGTTAAATCCTCGTTAGAACTTTATCCACCTAACCGTTTGACAGCTACCGAAAGAGTGGGTGACTTTTCGCGCTTCTCACCCCTTGAACCACATAGACTCTGTGTGTCGTTCACAAACGATATATTTAAACGTATACCCGAACACAACGTGCTTCAACCCTTCGGCGACGAGGACCTCTAAATCACTAAATACCATTTCCACGGGACGCTAAATTATACGTCAATCTATAGAATATTAGGAAAGAAGAATACTATAGACTGATCTTTTAAACAATAGCTCTGAATAGATTGAAACTAGAGTTTATCTATATAGGTAATAATATAGTTTCAAATATAGTTTAAAGTCAACATAGACTTTATCTTATTTCTAGTTTTTCTATAACCATAGAAATATCTCAAGACAATTGGAAAAGGCAGTAAAACATTTTCCAGAAATATTCTCGATAATTCTATTGTTGTTATTAAAAACTTGAAACAGCATAGAAAATTTCAAATGAAATACTGTGAGAGCCGGATATACTTATTTATCGTTGATCTTTGTGTACCAAAGGGATTTCAACAACCGTTACAGCCAGCTAACTGCTCCAAAAAGGAGAACAACCGAACTTCTCAGCGAACGAAACGCGTAACCGATACGTCTACTTAATTATCACGCGTTATTAAGCAATTACTCGATAGGATTCGGCGAAAACCCGCGAGCGGAATAATTCTCGTTCACGACTCCACGGTTACGTGTACACACCGCGCACGATCCTCGTCGGGGCTGCGGGTTTCACCGAAAGAGGTGAACGTTTTGTTTACCGACGTTCCATCTCGATGGATTCATCGTCGAGCGGCGGTGTCAGCAGAAACGGCGTTGCAAATAATGCGAGGGAAGCGGGAACGGCGCGGCGCGGCGGCGCGGCGGGGCTCCCGCGTTCCGTTCATGAAAACGCGTGCCAATGTTTCGCGTTTTTTAAGCCGAGAAGCCAGCCAAATGGCCGTGATAAAGGAGAGAGCGCATAAATCGCGAATCTTACCGACGCTAGCTGCGTCTTTGTCCGCTTAATTCGAATGGTATTGACACTAGGGCTGCTTGCTGCGTCGAAATTACGCATTCCTAACGTCTACTTCTGTAATTATTCAACATATACGGCTGTTTTCCCGTGGAATTCTTAAATTAATTGATACAGTAACAGGGATCTTAATAAATTCACTTTTATAGTTACTACTGAAACAAAAACTAATTCGACTGTTCAGTAGTTTCACTGTGAGATAAAATTTGAGAAATCGGAATTGAAAAGCGACTCCAATACGAAAACTTACTTATTCGTTACATCTGTTCATTTGCTATTTAATAAAAATCAGAGATTTCTATCAAATTTATATGTTTGTAGACAAATTAGAAGAAACTGGAGCTCAAGAAAATTGTATGTCAATCTATGAAATAAAAGTAAGATAAAATTGTAGTAGCTCGAGCTGAAGCTGATTCCTTTAAGATAAGTTGACCGTCAGTTTCATTTAAAAAAGGTAAAAGTGACATATGAAAATTAATCTTTGTTCACTGCACCGAACCTGTTGCGTCAACAAATTATTGCAGAACCGGAGTCGATGGGATATTTCAATGGTTAAACGTATCTAGAATAACGACAGCGTCGAATCCAACGAAATTTGAGACTGCAGTGCTGCACGTGCGACAAATATTTGTTGCTCGGCGTGTAACCGTAAGGTTAACGAGAGAGGCAGTGGAAAGAGACAGAGAGAAGGAGTTTGTTGGTGCATAAAAGAATGAAGGGGATTTCATACCCAATGCTCGTGTCTGCCTCTCAAATGAACTGCTGACCGGGCACATTGCGCGTTACACCTAGAATCGCGCGAAATGCGGTCCGCCGGTAACCAGAACTCGGATTCCATGGTATTTCCTCGCAGGCAACATTTTTCCATTTTAATTCTCTCCTTCGGGTAATCGATTTTTCCTCTTCGTTCTCGTGTTCTTAGAATAATCAGAAGAGTTACTTCCATCAATTTGCCTCCGTGCAATGTGCAAACTCGATTATGTTTATACCTGTTTTTAATATCGTCAGAGAAACTGACGAATAAATAATAAATCTTCATAACGTGCCATTCTTCGAAGAACTCAGGAGATAATTTTCGTAAAGAGGGAACAGTAATTTTGTATGTCTAAATATGAAACAATAATTTATTGCGTAAAAGTGATGTCTTTTATATTAAAACGTAAATTAAAATGTAGATTAAATTCGATCGACTGAATTGTAGATGAAACTAAAATTAACGTGTTCTGTGCTTTTCGCAAATTATCTTGGAATGATGGTAGGTACGACGACCAGTTTCAATTAATTGTTAGAAACGAATAACACGGACATTCGGAAGGAAGGAAGGGTTCGTTGACACGGTGAAAGAAAGAGACTGTGCTGCGTGTATCCGAAACCGCCGGTGTCGGCATTTATTTATAATAAGAAGTATAATAATTATTTTATGTACACATGAGACAATGTAACGGGAATTAAAACATTCTTAAGTCGAGCCGGAAGAACGAGCTCGGCCGTCGCGAACGATCGAACGCGTAATCCGACACGAGAAAACAATAATATATGCTTCATATGTCGTTCGATATGACAGTGGCGTAATTTTTGCAATTAGCTAGACGCTCCCGCGGGAAGGCTAAAGAAAAAAAAAGCAGGTAACTTCAGTCCCGAAAAAATGAATTCCTCTTTTCTTTTCAGGTGTTCTAACGATAACATTCACTAATACAGGCGATCGCACCGACAGTAATCGAGAATCTCTCGCGCAAAATTTACGCCGCTGCTCAACGCAAAACAAAAAGACACAAACGCAGACCACCTCGTTTGTATACACACCCCTAGGAAACGGAAGAAAGAGGACTGAAACTCAGCCGACAATTTATACAACTACCGTATACAGATCATTTTGTGCCATAAGTACTAAAACGATATCACCGTTCGTATCGCATCGGTACGAAAATGTACCGACCACGTACTGTTTGCTTTTTTTATTAAATGCTAGTCACCCGCTGGGGCACGCGTCGCTCACGAGAGAAATCGCGATCGTCCTATTATCGTTGCACTGTGAATGATTTTTATTTATAATGTCATGCATTCGGTTGTGCGAGTTATAACGGAGCAACATCTTTAGAGTCTCGTTTACGTGATCCATAGAATCTTCGATGAATGAAGCGAACTTCTAATTAAGATTCATCAGTGATAATGATTCGTAAAAAGTATAATTTTACATGATAGTTTTCCACTATCTATTCACGAATTAACAACCTATAGAAAAAAAGAAAACTTTTAAAAATATTCAATCCGTGATAGAATATTTCTTGACAGTTCTTCGTGGAAAATATCTATCCACCGATTAGATTATTAACACGTTGACCGCCACGAGAATTTTCAGCGGTTTATATAATATTAGTTACTCCTTCATAACAAAGGCAAATGGTGTTAGGATTAATTATTAATAAGTTGGTATCATAATTTTTAAGTTACACTGTTACTTCTGTTTCGAAATATTTTCATTTGACATTTCCTTCTTATTTGTTTTTAAGCAATTTGGAAGCTCCAGTCATGGGTGACCACCGTAGCGGTGAACGTGTTAAATGAAAGTAGCAAGCGAGGGATTTTAATTCTATAAAGAGTAGAATCTTCTTGAGTTTGTTTGTAGAACGCGCGACGCGTGCCCAAGCGAACACCAAGCTGAATGCATGCTCCGAGAACCATAGGGTCTCGCGTTCCTCGTCATTTCTGAATAAAACAGAGACACTCGCACCGTTCGTGCACACACGATCGAACGTCCTAAGTATCGGACGCAGATCCCATTAATTCCTCGAATTAGTATCCTGACTCGCGACCCGAGTCGTGTGGCTGTAATTTCGCTCCGCGAAATAACCAGACGATAGAAAAAACGAAAGGTAGACCAGGCGCAAACTGGTGTCTTCAAGTTCCGCGACGATCCGGTCGCTATTAATTGCTCGATGCAACGAAAAATAATGTAACAAACAAAAATAACTGTTTAACAGGTTGACCGCATAATCGGTACTCATCAAATTTTTCATGCAATCCAAGCAACCTTCTTAAGGAAACAAAAACTGAAAAGTCAATGTTTTTCATGGAGATTAAGCATCTTGCGTCTCATGGGTTCAATAAAATTTTATTTCTTTCGTATATCCTCGAGGAAACTAATTTTCAAATCTCTACAAAAAGTTGTGTTACCTACATATGGATGATGTGGCGATCAACGTGTTACCTTGAAGAGAGATGCAAGAATCGTTAACAAATAACTTCGTGTTTCTTCATTTTCAAAGGAGAAATGAGGCAATCGTTGTCGAGAGAATCATTTGTAGCGAAGAATTTGTAATTTGAATCACTTTAGGATGTTTTATATTAATATCGAACTTTGGGGCGTGTGTTCGTTTAGTAGATTTCATCTATATTAAATATCGACACACTAAAATGAAACGTTTCAGAGGAATTTTAAGTAATTCTTAAATTTTATTTTATGTAGTCGTCAAAGGAAGAACGGTATCTATTTAAAAATTCTTTATGATTCATGGATGGATCGTCTCAATGGATTAAAATGCGGATAAAAATGTACATACAATCGAAATGATACGAAATGGCGGATTTTATAGAGACGACTGAATGTTCACGCGACTCGAAGTTGCCAGAGTGTGCTTAATCTTACTGTTAAGAAATGACATCACCACGCGATTGATAATCGCGGTTCACGTTGTCGATCACAAGATATAACTCATAAAACAATTAGCTAACGAAGGATTAACACAACTATTCGCTCGAAAATATTCCGTAGAAAATCGGTTGATCGTTTCTATGAACGCGGAACGAGTCCGAAGTTGCGCTTAACTATGTAAAAATGAACGCTAAACTAAACCGATACAAAAGGGTGTTCGAGACGGATAGCGATTTATAAAATAGAACTCTGAGATTCTTATGTACAAAAACTAGTTCTTAGGCGGTAAGCACCTTTAAAATGGGTAGAAAGTAATATTAAATACAGAGCGATCCAAAAGAAGGGTGATCGAACGTATAATAATAAACGAAACACGTTCCGTTCGTTAACTTAATTGATACTACATAGCATATCTACACGAAAGTGACGACGAACGTCGTTCAATGAAATCCCATTTTCTTTAGACTTGACAGACTTGCCTATCCGTCAGAACAATAATTTAATGAATTCTTATTGAAATTCGCGTCTATCAGAAACTAAACTAAAAGTATAACTAAAAATACATTTGTATTACTACGTGTCTCACTATCTCTCTTTCAAGCTCCATCGATAAACCTATTTACGTCAACATTTAACCCGTGCCTAGAAACGCGACGGGTTGTTAAAATGTAAAATATGACTCTTCGACCATTTCCGTGGATCGCCCTGTACACGTTAAAAAGTAACGAAAACAACCAGGCAACAACGAAGGCCATCCGAAGTGCGAGCCGATCGATTCGCCGCGGCGAATGAAAAATTACACTTTGGCTAGAAATTAAACAATAAATGGGAGGAACTCCTCGAAACGCCGCGCCGCGTCCGTTCGACGCGAGCTTCTCGCCCCTGTTCCCTTGTTCGTCTCTCTTTCTCTCTCTCTTTCTCTCTACTTGTCTTTCTTTTTTCCTTTCGTTTTTCACGCTACGGCTACGGTATTCCATACACTCACTCACTCGCGCACATACACATACACGCACACACTCTCTTTCTATCTTTCTCACCTTTTTTTCATAGATTTTCATCTCATTCCTCCACGATTTGTTGATACAGTGTATCTGGCAAAAGACGTCTCCAGTCTACCACGAGCAATATATTCATATACCTACGCGAATAGAACTAATTACCTTTAATCTAATGATACCTTAGTTGCGCTGCGGGCTCCATACACGATTTACAATGTCGGTTTAACAGTCAAGGCCCTCGACGTGGCTCAACGAAGCTACGCGAAGGAAACGGTACGGTCGAACCGAGGCGCTATGTACACGCAGACGAGCTCGGAGGTGTGCTTTGGACTTGGGTCTCGATTGAAAAACTGCTTCTCGAAGGGATCTGGTATTGCCCAGGTATTTTCGACCCACGGCCGAACGTACGACACTGTGAACAAATTTTTTAAAAGGAAAATAATGAATCGTTACGAGATTTCTCGGGTACAATGACCGGGGATTGGAAAGGTTCTGAAAGTAACTGTTTGAAAACGTTGTACCTGTATCGATTCCGATTGAAACAATTATATAGAACAGAAATAAAGGGGCAATTGCCGTGAAGATTATCGATTTTTCGGTCACCATTCTTCGGAAGCGATATTATATCGGTTTTCTATTACAATTCCGTATTTTAGAACTGAAAAATAACGGTTATAGAATCAATACGGAACCGAAATCGACACTGATATGGCCAACACGTTATTATCGTAACAGTTACAACTCTATTTTGGTTCTCTATAATTGTTTCAAGACCCGAAACCGATATCATAACTGTTTTCAACCTCTGACAGTAAACGGGACAGTATTCCACGGATTGGCACAATCCATAGGCGACGGTTATAAACATTAATCCGAGGATAATACAATTTCTATTATACTAGTTGATTTTAGTTGTTACTAATTGATACTGGTTGATTTCAGTTTTCCAAGAATGTCCGAACAGGAAGGAAATAAGTGAGAAGTATCTAGAGAAAGGTGATTCAGTGATAAGATGGAACGTTCAATTTGAAATTATTGATTGCCGCAATAAATTATAGTACTATTGTTTCATTTATATATGTTACAGTTTCTAATTACTGATAAGAGAGTTGATTTTAGCTTAGCTTGAAAGAGAATGGCAATTGGGTGAGTTAACGAACTCCTTTGTTGAATTTTTATGAAGGTATCATTAAGAAATGGAAAATAATGGTTTCTTGCGGTAGCTAGAAGATTTTTCGTTAAATTTTTATGAGGATAATAATAACAACTGGAAAGTAATGATCTCTTGAGGCATGGTTTGGTAAAATGCTGGCCAACGTTTGGGGAAAACCGTCAGGACGAAAGGTGTGAGGCTTACAGAAGAGCGAAAGTGAAAGGATTTTCAGCGCGTCGGAGGGTTTACACGGGATTACAAGTTCATCCGATGGAAAATCTAAACGACGACTTTAATCCACCCCGTGCGGTCATGTTGAATTATTTTCGACAGGTACGCGCGAAGCAGGTTTCGAGCTACGGATAAAATCTAGACGATGCACGCTGTCCATCCTCGCTCGATGACTAAATTTCTCTTATGTCACTATTGTAACACTTGCTATTTTGCAACCGAATATCCTTTAATATTCAAACACTCACCGTGAACAGCTATGTCTATAAACCATATGCAAAGCGTTCACATAAATGAATATACGTATCAAAGTAGAGAAAAATACCATTACTGAAGGGCATCCAAATATATTACGATTTTAACTACCAGACCTAATACCGGCATTAAATCCCTATTTATAATTTACTCACAACCCGACACAGCACAAATAAAACCAAGCACAATTCCAATTAAATAAAAGAGAACTTAAAATCTCAATAAAAATGGGTTAAACTGTTGAATTAAGAAAATTATATGGATCACTCACGGTCGAGAAATCGGTGAACCCGCGACGGATGTCTCTTCAGGACCAGCAAGCGCCTCCTCGGCGCTGTCGATGTCACAGATAGACCTCGGGACTAGCGGGTGCTGGTTGGTGTGGTTGTTGCTGTTGTTGCGATTGTTGTTGTTGCTGCTGCTGTTGTTGCTGCTGTTGTTGCTGTTGCTGCTGCTGCTGCTGATTTTGCGCCTGGTGCTGTTGGGGTTGTTGCTGCTGCGACGGCTGTTGCTGATGATGGTTATGACTGTGGTGATGGCTCTGCCGGGATCTCAGGATCTCGTATCGCTGCTTGTAGAGATCGCGCTCCTGCTGGACCCGCGTCAGCTCAATCTTCATCCGCTGCAGATCGTTTTGTAAGTTGCGGTTCGTGGACTCGAGGTCGTGGCGTTGCTGCAGCCGCTTACTCCGACAGTTCTGTGCGTAGCCGCGGTTCTTCAGGGTCCGACGCTTCTGCTTCAAGCGCACAACCTTCACAGAACACGAGAATCCATTTTTACGGGTGAATCGACGCTTTAATGGCTACTTGTTCCGTACTGTTCATCATTTTTTTGAGAGAGAATTTTGAAGTTTGAGAAGCACGAAGATAGGGATGTGAAGAAGAAATGTTAAAGTGCTTGTTGCTACCAGTGCCAAAGGTAATTTTGTGTGTACAGATTGTCAGTAAATGCTTGACAGATTGGGAAGATAATAGAAGTAAGAAAGTGACGTAGGATACCTTTTTCTTAATTGAGTGACACTTTGTACGTGAAAGCTGGATGAACAGCGGAATCATCGCTATTTTGTGACGATCTACGAGATAGAGGGACATGCAAAGAAATTTCAAAAACAAATGTAAGATGTTTGAAGAAGTTGGTACTGGATCCTGGCAAGATTAGACTTATGCGATGATATCACTGTGGAACACGATTTTTGTTTTGTAATAGCCACTAGATAGTCCTTGTAGAGTTCCTTGCCCTATACATGAATCCGAAAACCAAACTGCTGGGTTACGTCCAGTTTTCGAAAAAAAATGGGTTTTTGTGAAAACAAGTGTTAGGGTAAGGAACTCTATAAGAAGCACCCACTGATAATTGCAAGACACGAAAAGACTTCAAATTTGTTCCACAGTGTATCGAGTGAGAAGAATGCTTCTTGATGTAACGGTTCTTCTAAAGCTATTACAATAATTCGCGTTCGCGTAAAATGAAACTTCAATTCCTTGCGAGGACGTCTACGTACAACTGATATTTTTCCAGAAAATCAATCTTAAGATTCCTCTCCAGGATTGTCCGACTAATACTCGCGATTTCTACTTCCTAAATATTCAACCATCGTACATAAACTTTCTCCATAGATCAAAACAACCCATTTTGGGTCTCTTCTTTCGCAATTGTGGGGAAAGCACAGACGATTTTCTCAGAAATTATTCAAGATCTTGATTCAATAGATACAAACTAGAATATAAGGAAATTGAAAACTCACTAAATGTATTTTTACAAGTTTCATAAGAAAATGCAGAACAATCAATTTTACTGGCCGGTTTCTAGTGTTAATCTCCAGTTTATTCTATTCTATCGCGGAAGACACGTAATGTACTGCTACAAGCCAATTTCATTGAAACTCAACGAACCCTACAGACCAGTCGATCGCTCGGTCTTATCTTTAAACAATTTTTCCAGTGGTCCATCAATTGTGTTGTGTAAAAGATTAAAAGGGGACTCAGCGCGATCATCAAGAAGCAATCGACAAAATCCTCCCCGCGGTCCGATCTTGCCGGTCACCGGCGGACTCGTCAACGGAAAAGAACAAGGCATTACCTCTACGGTAGGTGGCGTTAAAAAGACAAGAGACCTGACTCACCTCTTCCCGCGGGCAACCATGGAGGCGTTTGTTCAGTTCGCGAACGGATAGGGACATGAGCAGCTCGTCGTTCATGAGTTCTTCCTGGGGGTTGCTGTTGCTACCGCAATTCGCGTAGAGGGCGTTGCCCGGCCTGTGCGGCGGACTAGGTCCACCGGCACCGCAAGAACTCACTGAACAAACGCTCATCGGTCTCCCCTGTTGTTGCATCTGTATCCCCTGCATGCTGTCGTCCATAACGGACATTCCACATTTGCCCGCGGGAACCATCCCGCCGCCTGCACCCGCGCCCCCGTAGCACTCTATGTGACTCGACACCGCGATGTATCCACCTGCGACAATAACATTTGTCGTCTTTGAATCACACGTTTACACCAATCGAACGAATACTCGTTTCGTCACCCCCATTCCGACTGTAGTGGAGAGAAAAATGAAATATACGGTTTTTACTGTAACTGACGTTTATTAGAACTCTTGGCTGGATAAACATAGAGAGGACTCTACTCCTGATCTCGTCGCATTGTCTTATATGACAACAGGCGCGGCCTTTGATCGTGTGTCTTAGATTATAAGAGATTGGCGGTTTCCCGCCTAAATCTCCGCCGCCCTATGAGACACCTAACCCTAGAACGTTCTTGATTCCAAGACGTTCCACAAACTTCGATCACATGGGAAAATTAGAATTTAAAAAGCATGAGAGGTTTAACGCGTTCGCTGCCAGCGCTTATTTCAGTGACGGTCTCCTCAATTATAATATTTTCTTCAGTCCAATAAATCTTCTAAAGAGAATATTAGAAAAATGAAATTGAAACTAGTTATTGAGTTCCGAAATGTAATGTCGTAGTTTATAATTCCTAACAACAATATCCATAGGATTAATTTCATTTCCATTATGTAAAATGTAGGACTACGGCCGTCACAAATATGTGACGCTGGTAGCGGACGTGTTAAAAGAAAGTACATCGATTGTTTTCAGGTATTGTTTATCTATTACATGATGGCTAGGAATGCGGGTTTAAGACGCAATACACACTATTGGTCAAGGCTTGATCTGCTTTCGGTCCGCTCTCGGTTCGATCGAATATTCTTCAGTTTTTTATAAGATATGTGTTCATATTATGAATCCTGGTCCAATTTCGGTTCGATCCTGCTCTATCTTTGTTCATCGGTAATAATAGAGAAGGGAAGACTTTGAGCGAAATGTGAGCAAAGCGACAGTGTGTATCGAACCTAACTGGTCAGCTTCTTAATTTGGTATTTGTTAATACAGATACACGTAACTAGTCAAAACTATCGGTAGAACACATGGCGAGAGACCTTCGCCTTTTGTCGTTTCGCCAGCCATCAAGTGGTAGACGGACAATAACAGAGAAACGAAGTCTTTCTGTCCCACGGAAGGAAGGATAAGAGAACTCTACGTCTCTATTCTTCCAAAAGAATTGTAACGACATTTCCCCGCAAACCGCTCGCGTGCACTTGGCCTAAGGTTAAATGCAGACAAGCAGTTTGCGAGAAAATGTCGCAGCGGAGGTTATATTCAACTGAGAGTTCTTTGCAAGCGTTCCGTTCTGTTATAGTAACATTCCTTTTCGATTGCGAATAGATGCACGAATAATTTTAATGATATGGCATAATCAAATATAAAATAAAGTAATTTTCGATTACTACCATTGTTCCTAATTGTTTACTGTTGATTTGTGAAGGAGGACAGTGAAACTTGACTCGTGTGACACCCAACGTAGCTTTAAGCTTAACACGATCTTAGCATTTTATCTACCGGAAACTTATTAACAGACGTTGCGTAACGTTGTATAAACAAGATTTATTGGTTCACGTCTACTAAGAAATCCTTAACTTTTAATCTCTAGTTTCAAAAGACCATTAACACTTCGACCACCTGAACTTATATGAAACAACTTCCTCTATAAACCGTAAAATGAATTCCTCCCGTATGCAAGAAGGTTAAGATAACAATCGCTGTGAAAAACCTTAACTCGTCAGATTCTGTTTCGTTAGGAAAATCGCTTCATCAGTAGACTACGGATGTCTATGCGTTTATAGAAAACCCGCAAGTGTAAAGTTGCCCAGGATACGCGCGACAAGAAAACACATCCAACATCCAAAGTATGATTTTTATAATATTCCCCAGGAAACACCATTCCTCATTGCAATTCTATTTCGCCAATTACATTCTTAAAAGTTTGCGTAAAGGTCCGCGGTCCAATTACGAGAAACTTGCGGTCGAGGTCTCAAATAACCGCAGGTAAGTGATTAGGATCCCGGTCACGCCACTCACCGGTGTGTCTAGGGTGTCGCTGCAGGTATTGCAGGTCCGGGAAATGATGATGCGCAGGTGTCGAGGCCCAAGCCTCGTGATGGGGTTCCGGTGTTTGGTCCTGCGGACAATGAGGCCTAAGGTCGAGCGGTTCCTGTCTGAGGGATTGCGTCAACCAGCCCATGCTTCCGGATCCCGGTTGCATCTCGTCCTGCACCAGCGAGCCCGGCTGCTGCAGGTGCAGGAAGAGGCCTCTCTCACGTGAGTCCTGCTCGCCGCGGTGCAACTGCAATGGCGGCGGCGAAGCAGAGACCGGAGGCGTGTCCGGTGGTGTACCAGGATGCGATAGGGTCGTCAGGTGAGAGGACGCACCGGGCGGCGCCTTCACCAGGACACCGTGCTGCACCTGAATGTGCGGTTGTCCGTAAAGCGGATGAGGCTGCTCCAGTTCGTGCGCCGGCGGCGTCAACGGCGCCAGAGCTAAACCTTGCGCCTGGGCCTGATGAAGCTGCACTACGCTACCGTTCACCATTGGAGAGCTGATTAGTACCTGTGGATAAACCGAACGATTGATTCGTTAGAAGCTTACGTGACCATTTTGCAATCTTTTTCTAGTAGAATTATTTAGGTATACAATTTAGATTCATTGATGTCTAGAATGCTTTTTTCTTTGGATTTTTCGGGGAAACGGTTGGGTGAGTGTAGGTTGCTTGATATGTTTTAAGGGTGTGGATGAATTAGATCTACTCCTTAGCTAGTAGATAATTTGTATGTGTTGAGAGATAAATGTGTTTTGCAGGCAGCAGGCAAAAACTGATGACAATAGTCATGTGAAGACATTTATTACTTTGAGAATTAAGGTCGCTGTAGTTTGACGATTATAGAGTACTCCTTTAGATCTTTCGTAGAATGTTCAAGGTTTTCTAATTTTTGGAAACACTTCATTTATTTGAAACACAACGAATCTAATAGATCTATAACGCATGGAAATGTGCGTGGCTCGCGAAGGAAACTTCTACTTAATATTCAACTAGTCACGCCGTTTGATAGTTTTCATTCATAAGAGTGCAGTCGCAAGCAATGATCCGTAAAATACGTGGCTTCGTGCGCGATGACGTTATTTATAAGCAAATGAAACTTTTAAAATGTATATTTCGTGCGAAATGAAGACCTCCGCCAACGTGTCAACCGTTACCCACCGTTTAATGCATTTATTATTTGTCCGCCGACGTGTATACGCACTCGGCCAACGGGTGCAGTGCTTTTTTCATGCAAATACACTGCATTATAATTTCACGCTTGTACAATGAAAACGGCGCACGTGACTCCATTTACACGCGCGATATCAACGTTGGCGGAAATTTGATGTACGTAGCAGATAATCACGCACGTGAATAAAGTCGTCATCCCTGTATTCGCTGGCTACGTACGAGGTGCCAACTTATGAATGGCTTTGCAAAACTTGTGGAAACAAAATGTTGAAGAATACGTTACTGTGTTGGAGATTTTTGTAGTAGATGCTACTATAAGAAATAAGCATTCTAATAACTTGTAATGGATAAGTATAGGAAGGGAATTTACTTGTATAGTAATAGTACATTTGTGCGGTCACTATTATTTTGTATTTTTATGGAAATACTATCATGATATGTCCCTTAGCTTTTGTGAATTGCAATTTTTTTATTCTAAGTTGCATATGACATAATGTAATATAGTGTCACTGTAGAGGCAATATTTATTATCATTCAATAATATTCATCTTCCAAATAATCTTGATCAATGATTATCAATAAATAAATGTTATCGGACTACGCAAGTAAGAATACTTTGTTATAACTTTGCTAATACAGAAAAATAACCAAATTTTTTGTGAACCATATTCCAAAGACTTTTCGCAATATCAGTTTTTCATCGTGGAACTCAAACGAGAAGAAATAACCTTCATGGTATTCATGCATGAAGATTCGTTATAAATTTCGAAGAAGTATCCTTTGCAGTGTACCAAAATATAAAATGAACCAAAACACTTCAAACATAAGGTTTAAAGAAATGTTTTACATTAACGATCCTTAATAAAAGTAGCATGTTCCTATTAAATACTACGACCCTACACCAACTTTTCCTTTCTCGAATTACATTCAAAGCAACTTCCAATCAAGACCGAGTCAAGAATACCGCCTTCACCAGTGAAAAGTTACCAAGCATCAGATTATATATCTACGCGAATCCGACAACCGATTCTTCCATGCACAAAACACAAAGCGAATTATCCACTCTCCAAAAACCAAACGAACGGAAAGCGAATGACCAGTAATCAATTAGCTAACGTTACGCTCACCATTTCGCGCACCGCAGAAACCAGAATTTCTATTCGATACCCGTTTCGCAGGAGAATTAAAGAACGAAGGAAAGAAAGGGAGAAAATGGAAGGAACGAACGATCGGCGAGAAGAATCAAGACCACTAACCTCGCGTTTAACGTCGGCGGGATCGAGATGATCGAGAACGAACTCCTGTACGTATTCCCTAGCGAGATGGTCCTCGGCTTCCATCTTAACCTCGTCGACCTCTACCTCCACCTCCTGCGCCTCCACCTCCTCTACCGTATCGGTTGCGGCCGCATACGGGTGCGTCTTCTGGCTGCCTCCGCCACCTCCACCGCCTCCTCCACCGCCACCGCCACCGTTGTCCTCGCCACCTCCTCGACAACTCGTCACCGTTTGTTGCGTCGTGACCACCTTTCCGCTCGGCTCCGCCTAACGACCCGATATGCCACCACTCGCGATCTATTCCCCCGGCGAACGTGACACCGATTTAGGCACGCCACGTGAGCCGAACAGATCGATGCTCACCCGGCTCACTCGATCTTTGCCCGTACCTTCTTCTATTATCCTCAACGATACTCCGAGAAAATCACCAATTACGAAACCACCCGTTTAAAAAGTCACCCCTTTACAACAGACAGCCAAACGTCGGCTAAACCTTCAACTCAAGAATCGAACAGCCGAAGATGGATTCTCTTCTTTCCTTCGATTTCTCACAACTTTTACTAGACTGACAACTGTTCCAGCTTGTGTTCGAGGACTTATAGTCAATCACTGTCAAACTAGGATACAATAAATCGCACCATGGTTCTCCAGTGGAAAGACGTGTCTTCGATAGATCTAGATCACTGTTAGAAGCGTTCCCGTGTGTCCTGTGGGATGTGTCGCCGATCCACTGTCTACACTGTCACCCTTATATCACTTCTTACCCCGGGGTTCCCGCCAAAAATGATCCCGAATCCGACGGGACCTTGTTCAGCCTAAAAGGATCCTTCCTTCGGGGGTATCTTCTAAGAGGTGGTCGCCAAGGCTGAAGGGTCGCGAACACGGCAGGCAGAAAATGATAGCGGATACTGAGAAACTCGCTGGTCGCGGTCCGTTGCGCGCACGCGATCGCCTCGCTACGTGGAAGAACGGAGCAGAGACAACGGGCGAAAGGGAAAAAGAAGACTCGCGGGCTTGGCAGCGCCGAATACGTCGTCCGAGTGGTGACTGGTTCGCCGATTGCGGGGGAGAGAGTACGCCTTTGCGCGCAGGACACAGTGACGTAGCGGTAGGCGTGGCCGGCGTTACTCGACCCCCCGTCGAACGCCACGATTGGCTCGCCGGTGAAGGAGTCGCCATTTGCACGCTCCTCTGTCGCCCCCACCATCGCGCACCACCTTGCCGCTCCCGGAACGGATTCCGTTCCTCCACGGAGGCACCATTAATTTCTAAAGTGATTATTATAATTTTTCAGCGGGCCGCGATGCTCCTGTCCGCCAACTCCCACCCCCTCGCTCCAAACCATCCCCGTTTTCCGAGCGTCCGGAGCCCCTCCCACGATCCTTCTCCGAGTCTCTCTTTCTTCGGGATTTCAATTTAGCCTGTGGTGGCCGGTATATAGGGGTGACCCGTTATCGCGCGACCGCGATCTCGAATCGGTGGCTGGATGTAACCTGTGAGATCCTCCGAGGGCCGAGACCGGCTCACAGTAGTCGGGGTACCAACGATACACCTAGAGGAATGCGAGAATTTAGGAAACCGAGAAATGTAGTCCTTTTGAGTTTAATATTTTGTTTGATGTACTTTGTGATGTATTTCTAGGGGGGTTTAAGGTGTCTTGTTGGATACGTTTAAAGTTTGGAACATTGTTTAGTGACAATAATGTTAGAATAATTTTATTTTTAACCTGTTAACTGTGTAATTTAGTTTGAAAATTCCTCGTTCCGCGTACAATAAAAACAAAAAATGACGCGTGCACTCGTTAAAGGCAGAAGGAATGCACCTAGAGTATATTTTAATGAAAAATCAAGGAAAAGCAAAGAAGAATTACATGTTTATCTGAAAAAAACAATTCATCGTTGGAAGAATTAATATCGTTTTAAGTTTTAAGATGACGTGTATACTCGTTAAACGCAGTTAACTGGTTAAGTGTTATCAGATTTTCTATTTTGTGCAATTTTTGTAGCGATTGCAAATAAAATTTATAGAAACGAACTTTCTTCTAATTTATGCGAAGACTTCTAGCAAGTTATTCATATTGGTATTCTTGATTTGTTTCGTATGAAATCTAATTTCTAATAGGATAATAAAGTTGATAAAATAGGTTAAATAGATAATAAACTTGTATAACGCGGATATAATAGAATTCGATTGCCGATGCAAATACTTCCGTTCGATACGCGATCGAAACTACATCGATTGCACGCATTCCGTTGTTCAAGTAAAGACAGGGCATTGGCAGCGTGTGCACGGCGAAGGCAAGCGATGGCGCGAATCACCAACTCGCATCTAAATAGGTTTCCGCAAATGTCTACGAATCTACCCCTGCTTAGCAGTCTATATTCTGTACCCATTTCTCGGGTGGCACGACTTTAAAATGCTTCATGAATATCAAATTTTCGTTCTCTCGCGCGAGAGAGTCTTCCCGCCGCACCCTCTCTCCTTCCTGTCTGTCTCCCCCTTCCAGCCCTTTTTTTGCCCTTTCTTCCCCGCCCCCACCCGTTCGCATCCCTTGGAAACGAAATTTCTTGCGCGTGCAAACGATGTACTTTATTCGAAGTTTTAATAACCGCGCTCCTCCATCGTTGTTCAATTAAAAAAAATTCATAACGCGAAAGACGGATACACCTCCATTCTGTGGTAATTAATTATTGAGTAGTCGAAGCAACGTTGCTTGTACGATCAAATTGACAGCAACTTTTGGATGTGTCCTTGGCATTAACGATACAAATTCATTTATTTATAAAGACGTATAATAAGAATGTACAAACATGATTATACTGAATATCATAATGCCTTTCATTTTCTAATGTTGATTCAAACATTAAATTATGCAATACTTGAGAATAACGGACATTTAATTACATAAATCACACTTAAAAAATGTAGATCCTCTTAAGGATCTGTAGTCAACATAACAACTCTACGTACATAATCCTACAGAATGATTTTAAATAAGTGATGCATTAAATGGCAATTATTGGATCGAACAGTAAATGTTGCAACCACATCGCGTCACGTATTTCATAACTCTTGATTTAATTACTGTCACATGATTCGCCACTAAACAGCTGGATTTTTCTTTATACGACGCGCGTGTGACTTATCAATCTACTGTAAAAGAAGGAAAAAAGTCATACGCGCGTATCGATTCAGCGACGCGTCGCGTGGCGATGCAAAGGAAAAGATGTGATTCTGTTTCCGGAATTCGAAGGAGGAAACGAAGAAAGCTTTAAGGTCTATCCGTGCTTTAATCCGGTGGGCCAAGGTGACAGGACAGACAAAATTTTGTTGGTCTAGACCGGCGAGTGTCGCAAAGACCTGAAATAGAACGGTGAGCGACGACGATAGGATTGGCCATTTTGTTGAGCGAGGAATTCGTCGACGCTGCACTTCGACATCCTCCGGCTGCCGTTTTCTTTTTCGTTCCCTCTTCGTCATTCGGCCTGCACTCGATACCGCTCTCAGTTTCTCGGCATAACGAAGCCGAAAAATTTTCCACTGTCCGTCGGTCACGCGACCGACGTGGCAACCGTTCGAATCGCTTAAATCGATTTTCACGGTAACGATAAAAATTCGATCGAGCCTCCTTATCCTTCTTTATATACAACAAACGAAGCCATAACCACGAGTGACATAGCTTATGCTATTATAATAATTAGTATAATTACAATAATAAGAATTGCGATTTCATTCGCAAACATTTAAGAAAATATAACACTATGCAACGTTACCAAACATATGTTTCTACAAAATTTCAAAATTTCATAGAATTGAATTTATCCTTTGAAAACGACATGCTTCCTCGCCATAGCTCGAACACCCCAAGAAGCCCAGCCAATGCTCCACATTATTTTGTCTCGATCGACAACGTTTACAGTGCACGCGTGTTCCCGCGCGATGCGCGTTGAACTCTCAACAATAACGTGCACACGGAGAACGCAACAAGTGTGCATCATCAACATCTATTTATAACGAACTTGACATTGTAGACGCTCGGTTAAACATCATGATTACGTAACGAGTCGCTGATCGAGCGACAAATGTATCAAAAAGAAGGAAAAAGAGTGAAGAAAAAGAAGGGGAATCAGCACAGACGAAACCGATTTTCCTGTACTCGTAATCCTGTCCGGTTGTTATCATACTTTTACACCGCGGGTTAGGTCAAGCGGTTGATGTATGGAACCCGGTGAAACGTCTGGCCCGTCCGGCGCACAACGAACTTTACCGCGAGATTTACGGCGAGCAATTGCATTCGAAAACCAAACAGGGAAGTTCCAGTTTCCTTTTCGTCTCCCTCCCTTTGCCCCTTCTTCCCTTCCACGTCTTCGTCTCCGTCCGGGAAGGAATGGTCTCAGTCCCCCCGATCTCAACTCCAACGCCAATCTCGGTCATTTATCCATCTCCGGTGGACTTCAGTCGTTCATCGAACGACTCGAAATTACCGATATATCCAGAACTTTGCGCCGTTATCCTTCCTCCCCGGCCGCCGCGGCGCGGGGGAACCGACCGTTTCCTCCTCGAACGAGGAAGAAAGAGCGCCGGGGAGAGTAAATAAAATCGTCGACACGAGGCATTGATCGGCGAATCAAAGACAGGCGAATAAGATCGTAACCCTGTCCGCCGACTAATTCGATAACCCTGCCTCCTATCGAGGAAAGTTCGACGGAGCGTGCACCGCCTGGTATCTGCTTCACGATTATAAATTTTTCTGCCGGTACCAGCTCGCTCGTCAACCGGTTCCCCTCGTCACGTGAATGATCATCGCGTTCCAAACGGTCGCGCGAGGAATTTTCGAGTGAAAACGGCCATAGATTCCCCGGTTGATTGCGCCCCGGTTCAATTACGGAGAACCTTTTTACCTGATGCCGGCCGGTCGTATCGTGTACGATGTACAAAATTGACCGGCCGGTCTTTGCCAAGATAGCGTGGCACTACTATCGGGGTCGGGGAATTTTAATACCGAGCACGAGTTCTCTCAGCGTCATTGCCATAACATTCATTTCACATTCTAGAGAATTCTTAGATAATAAAGTTACGAACAGCGGACTGTTTCAGGATAAATACTCGGGCAATACTTGACCGAATATACGTGCTACTCGTGTCTATAGGTTTCGTCGGGTACGTCGTAGTCGAGTGCACACATTGCAATGGAATGAGATTCTGACGTACCTTCGATAGTTTAAAAATGCAGTGGAATGGAAAGGACACTTAGGTGAAGATTGAATAGTTTCTATTGTATATAAATATTTGTGAGTATTTTCTCAACGATTTACCAATTCTTTACAAATCTCCTCGAAAATCACGTTTCCTGCATCCTCATTTTAATTAATACACTCGACATTGATAGACAAACATTGTAAAATGGGAGAATTGGAAGACTAACTTTGAATACATTTTTAACGTCGTTCGTTCTCACGAACTTGCTAAGTTCTAATACCGAAACTTTCTTTCTAAAAATTGATTTTACTAATCGTCAGCAATCTAATCATCACGAGTGATTACAGACAATTCATAGTTATCCCACAGACACTAGATCAAGTCCCCCGTGAACAGGGTGTAGAATGGAAATCGAGTTGACGGTAGCCATGGACGACTCGCGAGGCGTTAATCTATCCCGATGCAAATTAAAAGTCATCAGCCGGGGCTCGACGGTCCTAAGGAGGTTAAGTTTATGAACGCGCTTCAGGATGAGACTAAGACCACGAGAGGAGCAAGAGTAAAGGTGGCTGGCACCGGTGGGGCGCGGCGGAGGAACGAGGGAGAGTGCTGAGCCAGCATAGCCGGCTTGCCAGCCTGCACATCGATACCAACCAGTCAGCCAGCAAGCCAACCTACCAATGAACCCACCTACAGTCGATAGAAACGTTTTTCCTACGGGAAAGCGTTACATACGGGATAATTTCGGGAAATTGAAAATATTCTGACAAGCTTGTTCCTTGATTTCTCTTGAAGGATTCGACGCGGGACGAAGGATTAATGAGCATTCGATTTTTCGATTTGCAACGTGCAATGAAGTCCCTTGGTGATGATCTTGTGCGGAAAAAATGTAAATATTATTCAGGCCGATTGAAGGGAAATGATATTTAATAATAGAATCACGACAGCTTATTCATTTTATAATTATGGACATCGTATTTACTTATTATTATCAGTATTATGGTACCGGTTTCTAATACAATATGGATAATTTCGGTATCTTCTTGATAGAAAATTAAACTACATTTTTCATCTCGAACGCGGCGGAAGAACTCCGGGCGAAGACAGTAGTTTCTGGTGCGACTGATCTTACAGTGAAAAC